CTATCTGTCTTCTGAAGGCTTAATCATTGCCTCCCCTCGGTGAAGCAAGGGCCTCCGCAGAGCTCCCACGGTAAGAAAAGCCTGGGGTATGTTGCAGTCACGAATAGTTCCCAAATCCTGAGCGCTTTTGACAAGAGCTGGGACACAGGATTTCGTGGACACCCAGCATCACCCTTGCCAGTCAGCGCTCCTCTCCTGTCTTGGCCTTGCTCACACAGCCCCTCTGGAGCTGCAGATGAGCTCTGAAAGGGCAGGAGGCGGCCGTGAGCCTCTGTGCCCAGCAGGTGCCTGGCGCATAGCAAAGGCCTGGGAAAGTTTGCAGGAAGGGAGAGAGAAAGGAAGGTATGAATGGATTTGACAAGATCAGGAGGTGTGTGAAAACAGAAAAAGCAAGAGAGAAAGTAGGCAGACGCTAACAAATCGAATCGAGAGGCAATCTCAGCAGGTGCAGTCAATCGGGAGCGAACCGCCTGGCAGTGGAGGGTTCGGGGGGAAGCCTGGGCACTTCACGCCCAGACTTGGAGGAATGGTGAGTGGGAGTACCCCATGGTTGCAAGCGTGGGAGGAGGCAGGAGACAGAAGGCGCTAGTCTGAGCTGGGTACTGTGCTAGGTACCATCAGAGCAGGGGGTCCCCAACAACCTTGCGAGCAGCGCCACGGAGACGAGGAGATGGGGTGCGAGGAAGGACACATCCCTGATCCAAGTGCACACGGCTGCACCGTGGCTGGGCAGGAATTTACAGCCCTGTTTGGCGGGTTCTGAAACCAGCTGCCATCCCAGGACACCCAGCTCCATGCCAAGCTTTGCCACAATTGCAGTCAGCTCAGTGTCCCCACCTCTTAAGGTCTCAGGTCCTTTATCTGTAAAGCCAAGAGGTCCGTCTGGGTGACCTCCAAGCTCCCTTTCAGCTCCAGCCTCCTGGGGTCCTTGCGCAGATCTAGTTAATCAGGACCGGCTTCCTGGAGGGATGGGGGTTCTGAACTTCTTCCCACTGACAACAGACATACAGTTCCTTTTCTGTTGCCAAGAGACAATCCAGGGCAAGGAGGGAGAGGCCCATGGCAGAGATGACTCCATGCCCCAAAAATGAGAATCACAGCAGCCCACAAGATTGTGCAAGCTGCCCGCAAGTCTGCCAGTCGGCCTTGGCCCGGAGGAGGGCTGTTTACACTCCCCGAGTATGTGCTTGCAGTCAACTCTGTTGCTGAGCGCACAGCCCTTAGGGCTGCCAGGAGTGTCTATGTGGGGACAACAGGGATGGGCCTCGCCAGGCCCTTTATCCCAGATACCAGACACCTGTTTGTTCGTTCATTCATTCGTTCATTCATTCATTCATTCATGTACTTGATCATTCCCTGAGTGTTCTCCAGGCATTGTGCAAGCACAGGGGATATGGAGGTAAACAAGACAACGTCTTGATGAGTCTCTAGGACCTGAGAACCTCAAAGAACAGTGAGGCACTAAATATAGATAATGACCCTCCCAGCAAGGTTGGTGCAACAGTAAAGGTATGTGCCTGGAGGTCAGGGAACACAGGGCAGGGGACTTTGGTATCTTCCTATGGAAAATATTTAACTAATAGTTCAAAAAAATCAAAACAAGATAATAACTTTATATCCAATTACCTTTAAAAACATTTTTTTCTCGTGAATGTAGATAGGTGAGAATGTCACATTCGGTTTTCTTTAAATTCCACTGGAGGCCTCAGTCGTTTTGAGAACTCCCTGTCTGCTAGGGCCATGCAAAGGTCCTGGGGTTTGTACAAATACCCATCCTCCCAGAGGGCATGCTCTTTGATATCCAGTGGCTGCTGCTCTATGCCTGGTTGGAGGCTCAGGACACTAGGGTATGGCTGTGACTTCAGTTTTCCTGGACAGTGAGCTTTGGAAAATCACAGCGATGTCCTAAGGTGTGGCTATGTAGGGGGCCAAGTTCCCACCTCTGGGACTTGGGGCCCCTTTGCAGGTGCTAGGAATCTTCCCCCTTCCTTCTTACAATTCCTCCCACTGTTTTACTGTGACTGCCTGCGTGTTTTCTCTCTTGAGCTTTCTTTTTTACAAAAACAACAAAACAAAACAAAACAAAACAAAAACAGGAAAAAATGTTGCCTTCAAGCAGCTTCCAGTTGGGGCCTACAAATGCCCCCTGGGATTCGGGAGTCGGGAGGGGGTCTGGCTACACACCTGGGGACACTGAGAGGGGAAAATACAAGGGAGAAAACCCAAAATCCTATTTCAAAAAATTATGTCTTTTGCCGTTATCTGTCTACTTTCGTCATTTCTTCAGCATATATTTCTAGAAATCAAGCCAAAAGATCAGCACGTTTTAAAGAATATTTTTCAAGTTGCTTTTCTAAAGGTTTACACCAATTCTCCTTCCCCCTAACTGTGTGCCTGCATTTCCTCTTTTTTTTTTTTTTTTAAGATTTTATTTATTTAACAGAGAGAGAGAGTGAGCACAACCAGGGGAACCGCCAGGCAGAGGGAGAAGCAGGTTCTCCGCTGCGCGGGGAGTCTGACGCGGGACTCGATCCCAGGACCCTGGGATCATGACCTGAGCCAATGCTTAACGGACTGAGCCACCCAGGCACCCCAAGCATTTCCTTTTTCACTGCCCCATCATCAGCATCAAGTCTAAGGCTGGTTTGTTTTTTCTTTTAATCTTCGACAATTTTCTAAATTAAAGGATGTTATTTTCAATATTATTGCATTTCTTTGATTACTCATGCCACTCATTGATTTTAAAAGTATAATTTTATTTTCTACGCTCCTTTTAAAGAAACAAGTTTCTGGGAAAGCGTGGGGGGACAGCCCCTAGAGGTGCCTCAGATTTTGCCAACGTCGCTCCTAATGCATCCTTGTGGATATCTTACCTCACCTGGGGCAACTTCCCCACCTTGTCTGACTGTGGAATTCCAACTGACGCTTCCAGACCCCACACACATTGCCCCACCTCCAGAAACTTAACCGGGTCTCCCTCTTCCCGTGGGTTGCCCGAGAGCCTGGTTCATACGTGGGCTCTTCCGTCCACCACCTTGTGTGCCGTGGAGGGAAGGCTGGCCTGTTATGGGCCTCGCTGAGCCTCAGGTTCCCCAACGGCAGGTAGGATCATGCCTGTTGCTTGAGGTTGGAATGAGCGAGAAACAAGATAAAGTCTAGAAAGTGCCCAGCAAGCACTTGGCACTTGGTACGTGGTCAGTGAATTTTAGCTATTATATTGTTACTATTGCTATTATTATTCTCCTTCTGTCTCCAAAAGGCAAGGGAGCGGCTTTTATCTCTGCATCTTTGGTTGCTGGCCCAGAATGTCAAAGTAAATCAATCAAAGTGCTTATTGAGTAAAGCATTTCTCTGCCCTTGGCACCGGCTTGCCGTCGGTAAGACTGCGATGTGAGGAGCACTATCTCCTCTGGCAGGCAACTGATCCTATGGTTGGACACCTGTCCCCTCGCCCCACACCGCAACCCGACCCGGTTGGCGGCGGGGAAAGTACGCTCAGGAATTTGTATTCCCAGCATCCCTTGCTTCCAGGAGTGGCCACGTGACCCGCTTCTGGCCAATGAGACGCCAGCAGAGCGCTCCCGGGAGACCCTCTACTTTCCTGATGGAGCCGAAGCAGCCGTCTTGCCACCTTGAGGTGATCAGTAGGATTTTATGTGCTGAGGATTGTGGAAAGCTGGAAAGAGCCCAGTCCTTGCTGGCATCACCCGCAGCTGACCAAGACCAGAAACCACCCACGTCCAGAATTCTTAATTTGTTAGAAAAATAAAACTCCGTTTGTTTAAGCTACAGTCAGTGGGTTTGCTGTTCAGTGAAGCCAAAGGCATTTCTGATACCTACAAGCTTGCTTTAAGACGTTCATCAAATATTACAACCCTTTCCTGTCCTTCCTTCTTGTTCATTGCTTCCCTTTAAGAAGGAAAGCTGAGGAGTCCTGGAAGACACTTCAGCTAGGCACCTGCCACCTGCTCTACCCCAAAGAGGGGCTGGGAGTCACGGAAGCCCTGAATGCCGAGATGAGACACACACTGCCTAGCAGTGCGGCCAAGGAGAGGGTGGGTGGGAAGGCACCTGCTGGGCACCCAGGGCTCACCCTGTGAAGGCGCACCCAGCTCCCCACTGCCCAAGGGAAAGGGCTGCCTCTGGCAGCATCCAGAGAAGGTGAGACCGGGCTCCCACGTCTTTGACTCTTCCAGATCCCCCCAGCTCCTTGCAGGGAATAAAGAGCCTGCCCTTAATAAGGCCTAGGAACTAATGTTTACTGAGTATCTACTATGTACTAGGTCCCTTTCATTTAGGGAGAACCCTTTGATACAGGACTTTTACCCATTTATAAAGGAGGAAGCCGAAGGACAGAGGGGCCAAATAGGTCTCCCAAGGTCACACCCCTAGGAAGTGGGAGAATTTGGGTCCCCTCCCCGAGATAACCCCACAATGTGACATGTTATTTCAGAGGCTGTTTTATTTGCTGTCTCGCATACAAGCGCTATTCATTCCCAACTGAGTGCCTTTGTCCTGGCTCTGCCTGCCCCCTCCCCGAATACCTTCCCCACTCGGTTGGCATCTGGTTGCAGCTTCCAGACTGGCCTCCTTCCCCCCTAATCATAAGTCACTACCACTTCTTGAGAGCACACGGCAGTATATTGCAACAGGCCTAAGAGATGGGTGTCTTCATGCCTGCTTTCCAGATGGGGAACCTGAGCCTCAGAGAAGCGCAGCTGCCGGCCACCCCGCCACACAGCCAGGACACCGAGCCAGCTCTGCCAGGGGCAGTGTCCACAGAAGAGCTGGGGACAGGCCACAGGGGTTGTATCCAGGTGAAGGTCAGGCCTCCCGAAACGCCTGGTCTGGCCCTTTCTCTCCTCCCCGCAACGCTTGGCCCTGCAAATTGGCTTTGACCTTTCTTGCCCCTGCCTTTGAGCTTCTCCCCATTCACTGCGCAACCACAAAGGGAGAAAGAGGGCGGGCTCGAGCGAACGGCCCCTCCCGCCCGGGCCCCGGGGCCACGCCCCCGCAGGCGCAGGAGGCCTCCGGTATCTGTTTGCACAGTTGGGGCGCTTGCTCTGCACCCCACCTCCGGAAGAAAAGCACCACGAGGTCATCTGTTTACTCTGGGATTAGCGGCTCCCAGCGGGAGCTCTTTTCCTCGGAGATGAAAAGAAAGCGGACAATCTGTCAGGTAAACAGGCGACATTGTTCCCCACGATGTCAGGGCCCCTTTGTGGGCCGGCCTTTGAGGTCCGTGGCTCCCTCTCGCAGGGAGAGCGCTTACTCAAAGGAAATGAGAGGCCCTGGCTGGCGTGCAGGTCGCCTGCTGCAGTTTAAGCGGGGACGAAGGGCTCGGACAGTTGCTGGTTCGCCTCCACAGCCCTCTCTGCGCTTGCCTCTCCGTGTGGGTCCCTTGATGAGTCCAGCCAGCTGGGCATGCAGCTACTGTCACAGATGGGGAAACTGAGGCTGGCGGCAGCCTCCCCACCCCCACCCCCCCCACCCCCGCCAAACAGAAGAGTGCCCCTGGCATTCCAGGAGGTGTCCGCTGGAAGGAAAGCAGGGCCGCTAGTCTAAAAGCCTCACTCTTCAGATGGGGTGGGGGGAGCGGGAGGCAAGAGAATTAGTGGAACGTGATTTCTAGACTCGGTATCTCTGGTGGATTGGGGGGGCACTTGGGAGCCATATAACCACCTTCACCACTAAACTGTTCAGTTTTACAGATGCTTGGAATATTTAAACAGCTGGACAGGGCTGGTCATGGTTGTGCCTGCTCCGTCTGACATTTATGTGACAAGGTATCATCTTCAGAAGGGAAGTGTGGACGCCCGGGTCCCAGGTGTGTGCCTGGGAGTCAGGATGCCCAAGTTCCAGACAGGCTCTGCCCCCAGTTTGCTCTGTGGTCCCAGGCAAGCCACTTGCCCTCTCTGGGCTGCAGCTTCTTTGGTTCATCAAACAAGACATAAGGTGCTCTCCATGGGCCCTTCCCCTGTGACAGAAGGGATGTCTGGGGAGGGCACAGGCCTCCATTTAGGAGGAGCAGATGGAGGAGGGTGAACAGCCCTTCTGGGAAGGAGGGGGCCGCTTGAACCCCATGCCCACCTCTGACACTCAGGGGGCCGGAGAGGCGGAGCGAGCAGGCACCCTGGGCCCAGTGGCAAAGCTCCAGGCAGTGTCCTGCCATGGGAAGAGGCACTGTGGTGAGGCCATAAGACCACAGGCCTCGGAGCGTTGTGACCGCGTCCGGTTCCCAGCCTGTCACTCACCAGAAGCCCAACCTCAGGCAAGTGACGCAGCCTCCTGGCCTGTGAAATGACACCCATGGGGCCTCAACCCTGCCCTGCCTGAGTCTCCTGGATGGACGGGTCCCGAGTGAACAGGAGCTGGGCCGTGCTTGATGCCGCCAACACCCTTCGATCATGTCCCCCTTCCGGCCTCCCTCTCCCGGGCCGCCCTGCCCTTGGCCTGTCCCAGGAGACGACTCATCCTCCCCGCCATCCAGATGCCAGGTCAGTCTCCAGCCTGCAGGGCACAGAGCCACGGCGTAGAATAATCTGATTACTCTCCGAAAGTACAGGAAGAGCTGAAAGAAGGCCGGGTGGAAAAAGGCCCAGAGCCCTGGCCTGACAGAGAGGCGTCTACCAACCACAGAACTGCCTCCAGGATGAGACCGGGCGCCGCCTGGACCTCGGCTTGGTCTCTCAAGGGTGGCAGTGGACCAGACACGTGCCCAACCCCCCACTCCCAGCCAGGCACCGGCTCTCAACCAGCCCTGAGCCTAATATGCACCAGCAGGAAAGAAACTGGGGGCCAACATGTTCTCACCACACGATTCCAGGGTCCAGAGCCAGTCCCTGGTGACCCGGAGGGAGAGGGGATACCACTACCGAGCTCAGCACCTCCTCTGAGGCTTCCCAGCTTGAATGAGGGCAAGCTCCCCGCCCCCTCCAACCACGGAGCTGTCCCTCCCAGGTCCCCCAGCTGAGCTGTGTATCAGCTGTGCGGCCCTGGGCAAGTGACTGGCTTTCTCTGAGGCTCGTCTTACCATATAGATGGGCATTTGAGGGAATGGGTCTTTTGCTTGAGGAAACCCAGGCCTTCCATCAACCCTTTCTCCCCTTTTTAAGACCAGCCCCCAAGGACCCTGGTTTTTCAGGAGTCCTAGTATTTGGGGAGACACTCAGATGCAGATGCCAGAGAAGAAGTTTCTAGCTTCAGAGATACACTGCAAACACCACTCCTTCCTTACTTTCCCTTTTTTTCTTTCAAAGCCTGTCCTAGCGATCGGTTTTTAATTGGATTCAACTGGATAAACGTGGTCCAAGGACTTTTTTCGTGATGTGGATCCTCCTGGACCATTCAGCCACCTTGGTGCCCACCACCTTACGAGGCAGCTAATTCCATCGGCCCAACGTTTCTGACTTCTGGAAAGTGCTTCAGTTACCCAGACACTTGCCTGTCTTCCCGCAGCTTCTACGTGTCAACCAGATTCCGGGCGCCCAGCGCTGTGCGTCCCACATGCCTGTCGGGGGTGGGAGGGCGGGCTCAGATCAGACCCACTGGGGTTTGCATACCAGCCGCTCCCCTTACCAGCTGAGATACATGGCCCGCGTGATTTACCCTTCCTGTGCCTCAGTTCCCTTATCTGTAAAGCAGGGATAATAAGAGTCACTGCAGAAGATTGTTATGGGTCCAAGTGAGATGACACAAGGAAAGCTTTTCACTCAGTGCCCAGCACCACGGGAATTATTTGCTGCTCTGGCTATTTCTTCTTTTGTATCTGCAGTGACTTGAAAAGAACTGAGGCCTCCCCTCACCTCGCTACCGACTTCTCTTCCCCAGACTGAGCAGATGCAACCCTTCCTTCAGTTATCCCCCTGTGGCTGGGTCTTAGACCCCGACACCCAGGTCAGCCTCCCCCAAATCCCCAAATGAGAAAACTTCGAGAAGGAGCAGGCCTCTTCTGATTTATAGCTGTCCAAAGATGAGAAGAGCTGTCCCTGGAGGGAGTAAACTCCCCATCCCTGGGGGTATTCAAGGTGGATGACCATCCATCAGGAAGGTTACAGAAGGGGTTCCCACACTGAGTGGGAAATTGAAATAAATGGCCTCAAAGATAGAAGCTCCTCATGATGAAGAAACGAGAAATTCCTCCTTCATTCATTCAACCAGTATTGGTGTTGAGTACCTAGCTATGACTAGCTCTGTGCTGGCTACTCTCCCGGGTACAGTTCACACTAAGAGAAGGACCTAAGTTTTCGGGAAGTACTTCACAAAAACAGGGTCACTCTGAAGTCGCTCTTTGCCTCTACTTTTGCCATCTGTAAAACGGGCGGGGTGGTAACAGTGCTTACCTCCCAGACCCAGCCTGCTGACAGCCAAGTGGCCTGGGACGGGGTAGGCCACAGTGAAGGTGGGCTGAAGCTGCCACGGTCCTTGTTGCTAGTAGTTCTAGGATGATGACTGTTCCTGAAATCCAGGGAATGTTTTTATTTTATCGCAGAAGACCCACACAGCTCGGTATGTATTAAATCAGGTCCCGAGAATCAGGCCCAGCTGAAAGCCTCACCCAGGGCAGCCAGGACTGGCTGGGGCTGGGACCAGAGACCAACAGCACACCAGTTCTTGGGCCACATCCAAAGCCAGCCAGGCAGCAGAGACAGGAGGTTTGCTGAATGGACGTTATCTGCTACCATCATTTCTCAGCAATGGTATCCAAGAGCCGGACGAAACCATTTTTCACTGCTTTGTAGAAGAAAGGGTGGTTCTAACTCTGAACCCAACTGGGCGTTTCAAACCCGTAAGCCCCCCAGAAAATCTGATGTCAGCTGCCTTCTTGCTCTTCTTCCTGGTATTTCAAGTCACGTGGTACCTACCTGTTGCCTGAACTGGGCACCACGGCGGTTACAGTTAAGAGGACTTAGGTCAGGTCTGGCTCTGTGCATGCTCCTTGGGGGCAGATAATGGTCTGACATTCAGACTCTTGGTGAGGTTTTGGGTCCCCAAGACGAGGACAGAAGCGCTTGGGCTCCAAAGTCAGGCTACCTGGCTCCTGGTCCTGGTCCTGGCCCTGCCACTCACGAGCTATGTGACCTTAGGCAGATTACTTAACTTCCCTGAGCTTCCATTCCTCCTCTGTGAATTAGCGCCAATCAGTCCTATCTTTGAAAAACTGGGAGGACTCGAAGGGACCACTCACTGCTGGCCTGGAACACAGAAGACCCACTTCCCTCCCCAGAGCTTCCTCAAGGACTGAACCTAGAGCCGTGTTGTGCTTTCCACCTGCTAGATGCATCATGTGTCTATCAGGAAATGTGGGAGTGTGAACAGGCCCCAAGAGGACCCAGAAGAAAGGAGCAAGACTGAACTGAATTAGCCTAGGGCCTGGGGAGGCTGGCTTTTTGTGAAGGAGGAAAAAGGGGCATCGCTGCTGTGCACTTGACCTTTCAGGAACTTTCAAGAACCTTCCAGAGGCCTCAGGGGAGAGTCTGAACTCTTGCTTGAGGAAAACAAGAGAAAGCTCAGAGAATGAATGGCCAAAGGAGTGGGCCAGTGAATCATTGAAGACATGCGTCACTGAGGATGGGCAGGGTCTATGTGGAAGACACAACAAGGTTTGGGGCCTTATGTGAGGACTGACCAGGATCAATGGTGCTCAGCTCAGAGGTTCACCATAAACAAGGAAGACCCAGTCCTTGCCCTTGGGAACTTGGGACTCAGGTACCAATTCAGTAGTCTGTTCTTGGTGAGTGTCAGCATTACCTGGGGATCTAACACAAATACAGCAGACCAAGACTCCCATTTCTGGAAAGATGGAGTAGATGTTCTTTCTTTCTATTCTACCCTCTGAGTACAACTAAAAGCCTTGAACATCACATATATAACTAACATAAGAGGACTCCGAAGAATGGAGAGAAGAAGGTCAGCTGGCTGGGGGAACTTGGGACCCGAGGAACCAGAGAGTGGTGAATTGGCCAAGTGCCTTTTTTTCTTTTGCTTCATATATACCAGATTTGGACCAAAAGAGTCAACAACCCAGAAACCCCAATGGACACAAACAAACAAAAAATTGTCCCAACCAAAGCCTGCTCACTCTAACCACAAGACCAGGAAAGGGGCAGCCTAGCAAGACAGAAAACCTTTTTTTTTTTTGAACTATGGCGAAATATACATAACCAAAAATATAGCACCTTAACCATGTTTACAGTTGGGTGGTCTCAAGCACATTCACAGTGTTGTGCAAGCACCACCACCATCCTCCTCCGGAGCTCTTTTCATCTTGCAAAATTGGAACTCTGTCCCTATTAAACAGCTCCTCATTCCTGCTGCCCTCAGCCCTGGCAACTACCATTCCATGTTCTGTCTCTCCGAATTTGACTACTTTAGGTACCTCACATAAATGGAATCCCACAGTATTTGTCTTGTGATGACTGGTTTATTTCACTTAGCACATTGTCCTCGAGGTTCATCCACATGGTAGCATGTGCTAGAATGTCCTCCTTTTTAAAGGCTGAATACTATCCCGTTGTATGTATATCTGTCTATGTAGAGACATTTGATCTCTACGTCAACAGTGGACACTCGGGATGTTTCCATGTTTTGGCTGTTGTAAGTAATGCTGCTGTGAACACAAGTGTACAAATATCTCTTCAGGACCCTGCTTCCAGTTCTTTTACGTATATAACCAGAAGTGAAATTGCTGGATCATATGGCAATTCTACTTTTAATTTTTGGAGCAGACATGACGTCACATAGCAGCTGCACCATTTTACATTCCCTCTAGCAAAGCACAGGTTCCAATTTCTCTACATCATCTCCAGTGCTATTGTTGTTGTTTTTTAATAGCAGTTGTCCTAATAGTTGTGAGATGGTATCTCATTGTGGTTTTGATTTGCATTTCCCTGGTGAAGAGTGATGTTGAGCTTGTCTTTATTGGCCATTTGTCTATCTTCTTTGGAAATATGTCTGTTCAAATTCTTGTCCCATTTTTAAATCAGGTTGCTCGTTGTTATTGTTGAGTTGTAGGAATTCTTTATGTATTCTGGATACTAACTCCTCATCAGATATATGATCTGCAAATATCTTCTCCCATTCTGTGGGCTGCCTTTATCACTCTGTTGGTTGTGCCCTTTGAGGCCCAGAAGTGTTTCATTTCAATGAATTCCAATTTATCTATTTACTCTTTTGTTGCTGATGCTTTTGGTGTCATATCTGAGAAACCACTGGTAAATCCAATGTCATGAAAATTTCCCCCTATGTTTTCCTATAAGAGTTTTATACTTTTAGTTCTTACCCTTAGGTCTTTGCTATCCATTTGGAGTTCGTTTATATGTATGGAATAAGATTCCAACTTCACTCTTTTATATCTGGATATCCAACTTTCCCAACACCATTTGTTGAAGACCATTTATTCCCCATTGAATGGTCTTGGCACCCCTGCTGAGAATCATTTGACCATGTATTTGAGGGTTTATTAAGACAGAACACTTTTAGTCAGTAACCACCCTGCTCTGGTCAAATGCCACAGGGGGAGAGAATGACCCCACCATACTCCTGCCAGGAAAACCATGTAGGAACCTGGATTTCCACTCAGGCCATGATGTGGAGCCCCATTACCTTGCTGGGTGGTGTCAGAGGGGAGCCAGAACTTTTAGTCCCCCATTGACACTTCCCCCACCTTTTTAAAAAAGATCTTTTATTCTTTTTAAGTAACCTCTACACCCAACATGGGACTTGAACTCACAACCCCAAGATCAAGAGTCGCATGCTCTACCGACTGAGCCACCCACCACCACCACCCCCTGACCTTTTTTTTTTTTTAGGATTCTTTTAAAACTTCCCCTTTGACTCATGAATTATTTTTTGATTTCTAGTTTGATTCCACTGGGGTCAGAGAAAACACCTTGTAGGATTTGAATTCTTTTAAATTTATTGAGTTTTGTTTTTTTTTTTTTTTATGGTCCAGGATATGATCTGTATCGATAGATGCTCCATGGGCATTTGAGCGAGTATTCTGCTGTTGTTGGGTGGAGTGTTCAATCAGTTGGATCCTGCTGGTTGATGGTGTTGAGTTATTCTGTATCCTTGCTGATTTGTTGTCTAGTGATCAGTTAAGAGAGGAGTATTGGACTCGCCAGTGGCATTTGTAGATTTATCTACTTCTCCTTTCAGTTCTATCATTTTTCACTTCATGTGTTTTGCAGCTCTGTTGTTTTGTGCATCCGCATTTAGGTTTGCTATGTCTTCTTGATGGATTGACTCTTTTATCGTTACATAATGTCCCTCTTTGTCTCCAAGAACTTTCTTTGCTCTAAAGCCTACTTTGATATTAAAATAGCCACTTCTGCTTTCCTTTGATTAATGCTTTCATGATTCATCCTTTTCATCCTTTCACTTTTGACTTACTTATATCACTATATTTGAAGGGGATTTCTTCTAGGCAACATATGGGTGGGTTATGTTTTATAATCAACTCTGCCCATCTCTGTCTGTTAATTGGGATATTTAGATCTTTTAGATTTAACATAATTGTTGATATTAGGGCTTAAGTCTGCCATTTTATTTTTTGTTTTCTGTTTGTACTCTTTTTTTTTTTTTTTAATTTTTCTGTTTTCTTTTTCCTCCCTTCCTGTAGGTCACTTGAACATTTTTAGAATTCCATTTTGACTTATCTGTAGTGGTTTTGAGTATATTTTTTGTATAGCATTTTTAGTGGTTGTTCTGGAAGGATGGGGTCCAGAGAGGCTGGAGGTTTCTCTGCCTACGCTCTGCCTGTCCCACCATCTTCTGTCTCTCTTCTCTGTGGTGGCCAAATGGAAGTCCTTATGGCAGATCCTATTGACTGTTTACAGGTCTCCTGCTATTGCTTGGTTGAGGAGTTTTCTCTTGAACAGGGGCCCCTCAGTGGCCTGTCACCTGCTGTTAGGCCTGGGCTTTGAGGGGGCCATGCCTTATTATCAGAGCCCCACCAAGGCCATTCTCCCTGGACTGGACAGGCCCTGATTTCGATGCCCTCCTGGTGCAATTGCCATGCACTCATGATCTTACTCACTTAATTATGGACTAGCTACACCTGAAATTGTTCTAGTAAGCAGTGTGACTGACCCTTGAATTGAGAGAATATGGCCGGCCAAGTGACCTTCTGAATTGCTGCCCATGTCATGATGCGAGGAGGAGGCTTTGTCATTTATAGTACAGAGTCATTTGCACAGGGATGTGATAGCCACTTGCTCAGCCACCTGTAAATGTCAGTCTGAGAATGTCTCCCTTTCTCCATCTATAATAATCCATGCATGCATTCACTCAATGATTCCACAGCACCTGCTCTGGGCTAGGCCTGCGAGGTCAGGAGGATTCAGAGGAAGTGAGTCCACCATCCAAGGCACATCTTGCCCACGCTTGCGGACCCACTTGAAGATCATCGTGAGCAAATGTCCATGGCTGTGGACACTCAAACGCTCATGTATAGAAGGGAGCATTGGCTGGGGGTGAAGATAAGAGTGAAGTATAAAGGGATCTCTACAGGAGGGCCACATGCTCACCTCTCTCATGATGATCTGCTGTCTCCCCTCCCAGTCATCCGCCAAGCTGAGGCTGGTCTCCCCAGCTCACAGCTCCCCAGCCCCCATGCCCAGCAGATAGCACTTGCCTGTCCTTGCCTGTCCAAATGTCCATAGGATAGCCAAGGAGAACCAGGTTCCAGGCCTCACTTGCTGTGCAATCCTGTTCCTGTTGCTATGTCTCTGCGCCTTCTAGATAACAAGAAGGGCTGGATTGGATACTCCTGAGACTAGAGCTCTGTGCAGAACAAATTCCTGCTAAAGTGTTGTGAGCTTAAAGTCACATCTGGCAGGGAGGGACGGTGGGGCTGTCTTTTTAGAGACCCTTCCCCTGCCCTCTAATGAATGCAAAGAGAGTGCTTAATCCTGAGGAGCTGGGAGGCAAGCTGCAAACCTAGTTCTCCACAGCCAGCTCAGCCTTTGCCTTCATTCATTCATGCTGTCCATCAAGCACAGTTTTGGGTTGGGGATATAGCAACTGACAAAGCAGAGTCTCGTAGTCTAGTAGGCAGTATATCCACATGCACATTCCTAGAATGAGAAGAGGTATAATGGGGAAGCATAACACAGGAGGATTCAACTACTATGGCACTTAGGGAGTCTCCCTGAGATGTCATTTCAATAGAGACCTGAAGGATAAACAGGATTTAGCTGGGTGATGTCAGGAGAGCACAGAAAGTTCACTCCAGGGAAAGAGAGCAGCATGTGCGAATGCCTTCAGACAAGATCGCTCCCTCTGGGGCAAGCCAACTGCCATGTTGTGAGGACACTCAAGCAGCCCTTTGAGAGGTCCATGCGATGAGAATGGAAACTTCCTGCCCTGTCTCTCTCCTCCCTTCATGACCAAGTAGCTGCACCCCAGGTATCCACTTCCTCACCTTCCACTCACTTCTCAAACCACTTGGTCTGATTTCTTGCTGTTCCCACATCCAATCCATCAAAATGGCTCTGGCCAAGCCCCCCTCTGACCCTCTGGTTGCTAGGCCTATTGGGCACTTTGTAATCCTCATTTACCCATCCCCTCAGTGACCTCCAACATGGCACTCCCACCCCCACCCACTGGAGACCCCTCCCCTGGTTCCATGAGGCCTCCGGTGCTCAGGCTTTCCCTAGGCCCCTCAACACCCAACCCCTCAGCCTCCCTCTTTTCTCTGGTCTGTGCCTGTTATGGGGCACACTCTCCCACCCTTGATGCCGAGCACCTCAAGGCCATAAGCCAGCTCTGTCCTCATTCCTCGGCTCCAGACCTGCACACCACCTGTCCACTCAACGACCCTCAATGGCCCTCCTTCAGACACCTGAACTTGTCGTCATCCCCTGAGATGTGCCTCACCACTTGGCTCCCAGGCTTGCTCAGTGGTGTCCCCTGGCTACTCTGCTGCCCCAAGCGGTAGTGGAGGGATCAGCACTGACTCCCCACATCCAAGTTACCAAGCCCTGTCACCTTCCTTCACCCCTAGATTTCTCTCGGACCCTCTTGTCTCTACCTGTACTGCCACCCGTTAGGGCTCCAGATCTCCTACCTGGGTGCCACAGGAGCCTCCTGATTACGGTCTCTGCCTGCCCCCTTGTGCCTACCCAGATCCCAGTCCATCCCACACATCCCAGAGTGCCTTTCGTGAAACTGCACTGTGCCACACCTCTGCCTGACACCCCCCAGAGCTCCCCGGGGCTTGAAGTTCGAGCCCATCCTCCTCCCCTGGCTCACAAGGGCCTGCCTGGCCACAGCCTGCCCCCTCTCTGGCCTCGCCTGGACCACCCCCTCTCTCTGTTCACTCGGCCATTGTGCTCGCCTAACATTGCCTCTGTTATTGCGTAACAAAGTCCCACCAAACTTGGTAGCTAAAACAACAATA